CACTGTCACCATGCCAATTTCACAGGGTATGCTTACAACAGACTGACAATGCCTTGCGAGGTGACTTTGAAGGGTAGCCTTTTAGATGCCATTCTATTGGTTAACCTTGTTTCCTAAAGCCTTTTTATGTGTGTATGAGTTGACAGTCTGTTAGTGTTTCCGTGATTACATTTTCTGACTTCTGAGCTAATGCATTTTGGATAGAATGATACGTCAAGTAAGTAGATTTGCAGCAGTAGCATCCCGTTACACACTGGTTATAACTAATAACATGTGCATATGCATCTAATCAGTGTAATCTGATTCTGTTACGAGTTGTGATTTAAGCTTTGGACTGGTTATTGAGATTGAGATGCATAGTAGATAATTAATTTTTTGTGCTACTCACATCTACTAAGGATGTATCACATTTTGGGTGAGTAGAACATGATTCTTCTCTTTGTTGGGGAAAAATGTGAGGTCTACATGCAGGCCATTCCACCACACATTTTATGCTTCAATGTTTCCAGAGGCCATAAGGAGTGTGGCTTGTTTTGGCCAAGTATTGAACCTAATAGGCCTGTAGTATTAAAATATGTGGGGAAATGTCAAATCAGTTATAGGTTTTGCATTTACTCCTGCTTGAACATTTTTGCCAGACATGCTAGCTCATAGTTGGCATAAACCTGATTTAGATCTATATATATATATATATGGCAAAAAAACTAATTGGTTGGAGCCAAATTATTTATATGCAAATACAAAATGTTTGGGCTCCAGACTGTGCACAATAAGCAAAATTCAACCAAGAATGAAGTATGGCGTGGCTGCATGTTATAAAAAATAGCTTATTAGCTCATTTGTACTAGTCCATTGATCTGCCACTGCATCCACTAATCCACCTAAACCACTCTAGTCCTGCTCAGAAATATTTTTCACTGAAATGCACCGGGCGTCCTTTACCTAGATTCTCAACTAGTCCCACAACAAACTCTCAAACTGAGGATTTGTGCCCTTAAATCTTTTTAAGTAGTTTGCCCCAAATGACAAATCCATGTCCATAATTCAATAGAGTGGATATGTTGTTTTGTCCCTGACTGTCTTTCCATAATATGACAGAGCTGCGGTTGATTTCGAAAAGAAGGCACACTCTGATAACCTCGAACAAAGTAAAGCAATGGAGAAAAATATGATTGCTGTGGCTAGTGAGATTGAGAGGCTTCGAGGAGAGCTTGCAAATGCTGAAAAAGGGGCCACCGCTGTCAACCCAGCAGCAGCTGTTGGTAACTCTGGTACCATACTGAATCTGCTGAGTATATTGTCACTTTCCTTTAAGTAGAATTTATGTATTTTGGGAGAATGGCTTAGGCAGTTAGCATAATGACCATCATTCATTGCAGGCTGTTAAACACAAAACTAATTGCTTTCAGCAGCTTAGATCATCTTTGTGGTTGCAGCTAGCTTTGTGAAATCTGTACAAACTCCAATGAGTTTTTCCTGTTCTTTATAGCTCCAAAAAAGCTTTCGGATAATTTTAATATCCTGAAGTGCTGTAGAAACTTGTAAGTGTATTTGAAAGCCCGACATGACACTAAATATAGAGCCATTTGTCCCTTGAGCTTAGTAGGTCATCTAAAATGCTAGCTCTTGGGAACAGTGGTGAAGAAGGGTGGGCGGACTAGGTTCACGTAGGAATCAAAGAAACCGTTTGGTAATAGTAGCACCAGGCTACTATATTATATGAGAGGTGGTTGCTTGAGTGGGCCTTGGGTTCTGTTCAGAAGATAATCCCTACATCTTCTGGCGTCTTTAAATAGGGCAGCTTTAGCATATTAAGAAACCAGGTGAAGAAGCCATCCATTTAGCTCCCACCTTCTCTTAGCCTGGATTATTTAGTTGGAGCTAGGTCTAACTTCAATTGCATTAACTTTCTTGTGTAATTGTTCTGAACTACTATTCTTTTTTATTTTTGTGTAATCCTATCTCAGGGTATGCTGTGGCTTATGGCAATTCTGAGCCAACATATACTGGAATGTATGGCAATCCTGATGCGACATATACTGCACAGGCTTATCCTGATGCTTATAGCACTAATCAGGTTTGTTTATTACTTGCTTTATGATTGTTCTCTTATTTGCTTTTAATTTGACTACAGCAATTGTTCTTGGATGCATCTAAAAGTTGTAGTCTATTGAGTCACACTAATGAAAATAAAAAATATGATTCCAGAATTAATTTCTTATTTCTGTTATTTGAACCTCAGTTATTTATTTTGCATGATTAATGATCAACCCTTCATCTCTTCTTTCTTCTCTTCTAGTATGTTGTTTCCCATTCTGAATAAGCTGAACATCCCTTCTTCCTAAACGTAGGTGCCATTGTGTTTCAGATAATGGAACAACCAAGCTTTTGACGTTAATATTTTTTGCCAAAAAGAGTCATAGATTTTTATTTACAATTTTTTATTGCCTTTTAAAATCATCTTTAAAATAAGTACTACACAAGACAACAAGCAGCTCAGCCTGGATCTGATGTTGACATATCTGTGTTCTAAATTACAGGCTCACATGCACACCGGCGCCAATTCTCATTACATGAGTCAACCTGTTTCCTATGGACAATACGAGAGCCAGCACACCAATGTTCAAAGATGACTGCCAGCACAAGATATCTTTGACTTGCCTGCCATCTCATCTCATCTCATTGTAAAAGGATAGTCGCAGAATCCACCAAATTAAGCATGTTAGAGAAATCCATTGCATTGAAGTGCTGGAAGTCCTCATGTTAATGTTTTTTTCTTTGCTGGGTAATTTGTTCCAAAATCTATGGGTCGAATTTTGGAGCAAAAATCTTTCTCCCTTCTCCATGTACTATCCTGATGATTCGTCAGTTAGTTATGCAAATTGGTGGTGTTATTCAGGGACGGTGATGCCTCTAGCCATTTGTGTACATATAAATGAAGCTGGTTGCCGTTAATTTATGCATGCAAATGCGATCATCTATATGCTCGCCAAGATCTAAGCTTTGCTGCTGTTCGGCGGTTTACTGTGAGACTTGAAATTTTGCTGAGAAGGCCATATTATCTGTCTGTTATGCATTTATGCTCAGAATGAAGAAATAATCATACACCTCTTCGCTTCAGTCTGGTGTTAAACCATTCTCTTGCAGATGATTCTAAAAGTAGAGTGCCAGCATCTGCAATTGCTTTGCCTCTGTTTTTAGGAGCTCTTTTCTCTATATAGCACGAGAGCATGTAGCTGCAAGAAAGAATAAAAAAAAACAAAGCTTCTAAGGCTTGAAAACTAATTTCACGCCTAACCGATCCATTGCGGCCCGCGGTCTGGCTGTTTCGTCTCGGTCCGGGCCTCTTTCTTTCGAAACGGTTCTCGGCCAGAACTTTAAAGGCCCACATGCTTCACCATGTCTCGGTAGCCCACGACCACGCGAACTCAGCGGCAGAGCGCAGAAAGCGTTCGTTCGGTCCGAGCGTTTAGCACCACCTCGCCAGCGGAAGGCAGACGCGCCGCGAGCTCGCTCTATAAGACGAGCGCCCCGTGCGACGTTGCTCCATACTTACCTGGACGGGGTCGACGGGCGATCATGAAGGCTCGTGGCCTAGGCCAGTGGCCTTCATTGCACTTGTAGGGTGCGCTGGCTTACCATCTCCCCAAGTGGGAGAGTGGACGTCATAATTTGTGGTAGAGGGGGTACGCGTTCGCGCGGCCCCCGCCAAGTCTAATCAATAGAATTTTGGTCCTTTCGTAAATTGATGTAGTGTTTTTTAATATATCTTCTTGTGACGTTTTCGTTGAGGACCTTGGATATTTGATTTTTTTTTCGTTTAGATCCTCGTACTGGCAATTTTATATTGCTTACATGTGGAAAAAGTCCGTTGGTGTTGTTAAATTATTTGCGGACTACCCGCAACAAATGGAGGATTATCCAAAAAAAAAAAGTATTTCACAACTGTGTTTAACTTATGAGAACTGTTTCCGTTTTTTGTTTTAGCATAGTTATAAGAGGAACGTCCCTTTCAAAAAAAGGCGTTCGAGTACAAGAGAACAAAATGATTTACACAATGACAACATCGAAGTCTTTATTGTTTTTCTGAAAGTCTGAAGTCTTTATTGTTGCACCTTAATAATACATTTGGTGTTCCCCTTAGATTGTCTGAACGGATGATATCTCTGAAAATTTGAAAACATAAAGGGGGATTGGCCAACGAGGTTGCCCAGGACGAGGAGAAAGGGACCAGAACTAACTATATGAACTGTATTTACTTCTGATGAGTGCTATAGTAATTTGAGTCGATTTGTTTTTAGGCCATGGGTGTAATGCACAAAATTGATAGTCGATATTAACTTGATCGCAAAGATGCTTGACTTTTTTTTTGAAGAGACAAATGTGCTTAAGTTTCCCTCCTTTCAAAAGACTTGTCGGCACACGGAACACAAAAATATGAGTAAGATCATGGGAATCTTGACATAACGAGTTCTCTTACTCCCTTTGTTCCTTTGTTCTTAGAAGAATGTACTTTTATAGTTTGGACAGAGTCAAAAAATGTTGAATTCGATAAATTTTATAGAGAATAGTACCAACATTTATGTATTCAATTCGAATAGATCTGTGAAATACGTTCAATGGGTAATGTAAATTGTAATGTTTTTTATATTAATTAACTTGACCAAACTTGACACTCTGATTGGCTTAACTTTTTGAGATTTGATTGACTTAACTTCGAACTTAGAAGTACAACAGTTCAGCTGCGTGAGAGTACATTTTAAATCCACAACACGCCATCCTCCGCTGCATCGCAGCCGTCCAGCGCGACTGCCACACACGATCCGAGCATCCAGATGCCCGGGGGAACGTGTCAGCGTGTCACGTCCGCGCGCCCGCCGCCCACCTAAACATAACCGGCCCGGTCGCCGTCCATACCATCGAACGACTCGAACCCACGAGCACCCCCACCCAACCCAACCCAACCGCGCACCGAGTCGAGAAGGCAAATCGAATTCGCCATGGGCATGGCTGCTCCGCGCGCGCCGCTGCCTCTCCCCAAGCTGCTGCTCCTCGTCGTCGCCGCGCTCCTCGCCGCCGCTCCCCTCCTTAGGGCGGCCGGGGCGGACGAGTTCGACGTCCGCCGCCACCTCTCCACCGTCACCAGGTGTGCTGCCGGTCGAGGCTCTCTGCCTGCTGATCTGAACTCGTTCTCTGCTGTGGGTTAGTGGCGTGCTGCGGTAGTGTGATTCGGATGTTATGTGTTCCCTTCGCGTTACTGGTGCGACTGGGCCTAGGGCATAGGGATTTTTTTTTGGGGCGGTTGAGTCCTGCCGGGGTTGGGGAGGACTGATGAACTGCCACCTCTACGGTTCGCCGGCCCCGAACTATCCGCAGCGTTGCTTCGGGTTGACGCTACTACTCGCTCTCTCTCTCGATTGAGCTAAATTTCTGATGATGGGACATGGTTTGTCTAACTGTAAACACAAACATTTCAGTTCTATGTAGCAAGATAATGGATCTGTCGTAACTTGTACACCTGAATTTTAGTGTTCATGACTATATCTAGGTGGTACAGTACAATGATTTAAAAATGTAGTATTACTTGTGATCTTATGGTGATTTGTAGGAACAGAGTGAGTTTTACAGGTATTAGGAACAGAGGTTTCCTATCTAGAGATCATTATCAGCAAATGCGTGATCTGAATGATACTATCACTTAAATCCGAGAATTGATCTCTGCTCTCAATTTTCTAACCTGAACGAAATGCTCTAATCCCCTGGTGAT